GAGAAACTATTCCAAAATCATAGATGGCGCTAATCGCAGGCGGTAAAATTTGTATTTATTCGGCAGTAGAAAGTTAATAACCTTCCAAGTTTCTGTAATTAATTCTTCAACATTTGTAGCTGCACGGCAAGGTTGCAATTATAGGCAACATAATTATACAATGTTTAGATTAATAATTAATACTTACATGAGATAGGTTTTATATATTCTATAGTAAATAAGGTTACTATAAAAAAGTATTTTTCTTGCATAATATTCTTATTATTTTGTAATAAATATATATTTGCATAAGAAAGCGTGAAAATTAAATTTTTTTATTAAGAAATTTTATTTACAACTATTTATTTACAATGTTTTCATACACGAAAAGTGAACCCAAGATAAAAAATATATTATAAAACTACCAAAAACTATGGGGGCGGGAATCGAACCACGATCCTTCGGCATAAGAATTACGGACTTTCTTTTCTTTTTTCGAACACGTTTATTGCGCTAGAGATTTGATACAATAATATAACTGTAATAAACCAAAACGTACAAAAAGGTTATACATGAAAGCTTAGCCTATGAGACCGATGGCTCCAATACGAAGCACTCGCGATCTTAGAATTAAAGCTTACCCTACCGCGCTTATCGCTATATGATAATATAAACCTAAGAGCTATCTTATATCATAACGCGTGTTTGCCTATGCATAGAATGGCACGAAAACTATACAGTCAAGTGGGTAAAAGAAAAAGGGGTCGACTAGATTAATAAATAGATAAATAAATAAATAAATAAATAGGAGAAGAAGGAAGGAAGGGTGGGAGAAGTGAGGAAAAGGGTTATATACATTTTATTTATTTCAAAATCATGTTTACAGTATTTATAAGTATGGCCGTCTGAAACTTACAAAAGACAAAATGGAAATGACGAAGTAGGATAAGAGGGGGAAATAAAATAAAAATTAATCGTCTCCCCGTCGGGGAATCGAACCCCTGTCTCCCGCGTGACGGGGATACTAACCACTATATTAACGAGGATTTTCTGTCCGGTTTTATTTATTTACTGGTACATGAATGTTTACATTAGTTTTAAACAATATATGAGTTGCTTTAACACGAATCGAGCCATCAATATTTTTTTATGTTTTGACGGTGCGAGTCTTCCCGATCTATTTTCGATAGTTTCGTATTAATCTTTGACGCGTTGACGCGGATATCGTCTGCGTTATACAAAATTGCCGTGTTGTCGGCTTTCCTAGTCACGTGTAGATCAAGGGTGCATTTTCGCTATTCTGTATGTACCCTTGACCATCCAGATGTACGAAAGCTTCTGGCGGCGAGTATTCCGTCTGGCGGGCTTTTCCAAAGTACTGTGGATTGGGGTATACGAAGCTGTTTATTGGACTGTTACTTTTTACATTTCTAATGTTCGCCCAATGATTGCGGATCAATTTGAGCATGAACATATCTATTCTAACTATTTTCGGGCTTTCGTAAAGTTTGGGGTTGCTAATTAATTTAGTGAAATTGGACTCCGGAGTCCGGTATTTGCCTAGACAAGCTCTGAGGCATTTTCTCTCGAAAACCCTGAGCTTCTCTATCGTACTTGCCGTTACGTTCAACCATACGGGACAGCCGTATGTCAATATCGGTCTTACAAGTGTCTTATAACAAATAATTTTTGTTTTCACGCTTAGCAATTTCGAATAAAACAGACGCCTGTGATTGGCGAATGCTCTTTGGGCTTTCTCGATTTGCGTTTGGACATGGTTTATAAAGTTTAGTTTGTAATCTAGATGTACGTCTAAGTATCGAACCACATTTTTGTTTGCTATTTTTATTCATTCGTCTTTCCCGTCGTGTAATTGAAAGTGTTTAGAGTGCGTTCGTACGTCGTTGTCGCGTACGAGAGTCGTGATATGTATGGTCTGAATAGAATGGTTCCGCATTTTTCAGTATTGATTTTTAATTTCCAAGTATGGAAGTAATCTTGAATTCTTCCAAAAATTTCTTGCAATCGCGTTTTTAACTTTGACGGTCTGCTGTCTTTTATATAAACTAGAAGGTCGTCCACGAAGGCTATCGTGAATTTGTCGGGGTCGTTATTTAGGTCGTACATACGGAGTAAGTCGCTTATATATATGCTAAACAAGATGGTAGAATTGACGGTGCCTTGTTGCAAGCCATTCTCAATCGCGAAGGTTTTCATGGACGAGCAATTGTTTTCCGTTACTATGAACTTTTTATCGTGAAGCATATCCCAGATCATCCTGACAAAGTGTGATGGGAAGCCTTTCTTTATGAGTTTAAAGAAGAGACCGTCCAGCCACACCGTGTCAAAGGCTTTCTCTAGGTCTATGAGGAGCGCGCCTACGCATTCGTCGACATTTCTTGCCCAGCAGATGTCCGATGTAAACTTGGAGATTGCATGTATCGTGGCATGTTTATAGCTGAACCCGAACTGTGTCTCCGGGGTAACGCCATTGACGTCGCAGTAGGTCGTCAGGGCTTTGTTTGTTACAGTTTCGAAAACCTTACTAATATTCGCGAGGAGGCTGATCGGTCGGTAATCCATTGGATTACTTCCCTCTTTGCCTTTCTTTTTTATCGTTATTAATTTTGCTGCCTTTCAGGCGGTAGGAAAATACATCCTGTTTAAGCAATTGTTGAATATTTTCGCGTAATTGAATATATATTGCAGCGGAAGGTTTTTTAAAGCAATATTAGGAATGTTGTCGAAACTGGAGGATCTTTTGTTATTGAGTTTTTTGGATGTTAGTTTCAGTTCTGTGAATGACGTAAAATAGTCTTTGGGTACGCGTTTGTCCTTTGGGCTGTCCGCTGGGTTGTCTTCGTCGAATGTGCATACCGTCTTGTCGTTCTGTCGGTCTTTCAGGATTTCCTCTTTAAGTCCGTCGATTTTTTGTCCAATTATATGAGAAAGCTGTTCTTTACCCATGTGCAAGTTTTGAGTATGCACCGATTCGAAGTGCCTACCAAGAACATTTAATTTGTCTTCCGTCTCCGTTACGAGGATGTTTCGTCGCGCGTCCGTCTGACGAGTGTCGAATCGTACATTAGAATCCCAAAGGAGGCATGCCTACCTCATAGGAATCTTTAAGGTTCCTATGGTGCTTGCTTTTTTCGGTCGAAATATACTATTGATCGCGGAAAAAAACTTCGAATGTTGACGCGGGGATATTTTTGAAATCTTGTCATTCCAGAAAGCGTTCACCGATGCATGGAATGCTTTTTTAAGCTCGTATCTAGTGTCTTTGAGAGAAGCTTTAAGCGATGCTATTAAAGTATCGTTGCTGCTCGAGTACGATTCGAGTCTCGTGAGTCTGTTCAGTCGCGTGAGTATGAGACTTTTCTGTGCGCGTAACTGTTTAATGCGCGGAGTAACGTATTTGTCCGTTGTGTTACTGTATTTTACACGAAGAATCGTACAATCTATGGCTCTGTTTATGTCAGTGTTCAGTTTGTCCAGGAAATCGTCTATTTCTTCTATTCTTAAATTTCTGTTGTTTGATACGTCCGGGATGTCGGTCTTGATCAGGTATTTTGTAAATTTCGTCCAGTCAGCTTTATAGAAGTTGTATCGGTCCGGGATGACTGATTCGTCTATTTCTAGCGTACCCATCGAGGGTATAGATATTTCTATCAACACTGCTCGATGGTCGCTATCATATTCCAACGAGTCTAGGGTGTGGTGGCTGGGTGTCTTGTGAAATGCAATGCGACCATCCGCTAAGCAGAGGTCTACGAAGGCCCCGCTTTTCGGATAGGATGGCACTGCAGTTCTGTAGATGGAGAGTCGATATGGGGTACAGTTTTCGAGGGCCCACACGTTCAGTTGTGTCCCTCTGCTATTGTTTGTGGCATTACCCCAGGAGTGATGTTTCGCGTTCAGGTCACCGGCTAGGATATAATAATTATTGGCTCTATATAATTCAAGCTGCCTGAATAGCGATTTAAACTCTACCATAAACTCTTTGTTCCCATTGATCGCCGCGTACCTTGAGATTATGAACAGCTTGGCCGCGTCTCTATAACTGTTGATTGTAAGCTTTTGTCTGTCGTTTTGCGGTCTAGGCAAATGTGCCTGAATTTAATGTCCTTACGTATGACGATGCCCGTTCCGCCACCCTCTTGTTGAATCTATCATTTCGAACGAAATTGTAATTCTCAAACACAATTCTGTATCGAGGGTTCAATTTCGTTTCGCTTAGTAACTGAACGAGAACCAGTGCTTTCTTCGTGGTATGGTCGTTGACAAAGAACGATGTATTATCCGCCGTTAAATTGGAATTGGAATATTAGAAGAGGTGTATCACATGGTTACTCGTCATGTGACAGCAATAAACCGCTAACTTACAATGTAAATACAATGAGAAGATGCAAACGTGGAATATTCATAAACACAATGATAATTGTATAAATAGCACCATTATGTATCACAAAATACAGATCTAGTTGTGAAATTACATTTGCAAATCTCCAATCCGGAAAGTGACGCAATTTCTATCGAGGGGTGGAAAGAGAGAGAGAGAGAGAGAGAGAGAGAGAGAGAGAGAGAGAGAGAGAGAGAGAGAGAAAAGAATAAATAAGAGCGTGTTTTGTGTGTATTATATTTACGTTACTGTAGTGTTATTGCCTTGCGTTAAATTAGTTTCCGAGGTTAGTGTTCGTTTTATTCTGTTTATATTGTTCTGCCCGTTTTCGGTGTCTCAAACTATTCGCGCAGGTCCGATATTCTTTCGATAAAAGAAGGAATAAATCTACATTATTTCTGTAAGCTAAGGACAAAGTAAAACCTGTTTTCGGCATCCTACAATGCAGTAATTGCAAGAAATCAAAATTAGTCCTATAATTCAAAAAGTTTGCTGGATGCAATTTTGCTAGGATTACATTTAATAAATATTATATTTTTGCATTATAATATCTATTAAAATCTTCGCATTGTTTTCTTTTATAATGCTCATATTTGTAACAGTTTGTTACAATGTGGTCAATTATATTTTCAAGAAAAGTATTACAATAGATTACACTAACAGTTTCCTTTGAATACAATGAGTAATATTAAGGTTTAACATTTTTGATTACATCCGTAACAGCATCGACACAAGTTGCAACTGCATATGCACCAGCATCTGCATTCTGTAAATATTGCGCTTGTTTTACGTAACTAGCTCGTCCTACCCTGTAACAGATTAAATGAACAATCAATTGAATAAGCTATTACAAGTTGTTGAAACATATATTTATATGTAAGAATATAGCATTATTCAATTAACAAATATGTATGATATAACATTTTTAAGGTATTCTCTTTACATAGTATATGGCATGAATCAAATAACAAATTTTCTTTTCAATTTGAAAGATCTTAGAAGTTCAAATATATCATTTTAAACGTTTAACAAAATGACGTGATATTCTTTCTTCTCTAAAGTTTTTCTTTCGAACAAATTTTTCATTATAACTGTGTAACTGTGCATAACGAACAAAATGGTTTAAGTAAATGTTAGTACGTATTATTATTGAGAAACTGTAACTCTCTTCGTCCTCAGCAATTATTTCAATAATTTATTATGTACTAAAACATTAACCGACTATACCACTCAAATATTGCAAAAATGAAGTTTATATCTTTATTAAACTTTAAGACAACAGACTGTGATACTTTGTTTGGCACAAACTGAATAGAGAAATGCGTTTATTAGGATTAAAGAACTTTGCACACTTTGTAGTATTTGATAGGTAGTTTGAAGTAAATATGTTTCAACATTTATCGAATAAAAATGTTTCATTATGAATATAGGTCCCAAGCAATAAATTTGCTTGAAATTAATTTTATTTTGCACAAAATTATCTACATCAATTACCTAGCGAAATATGTATTTATACACATCAGAAATAAAATAGAACACGCACAAAAACATAAAATTTAAGAAATTATTATTCTTAAAAATTGAAAAATATTTTTTTTTCCAAACCTATAAATGTTCTTAAAATTAGCTGTGTGCAAAAATAAAGTAAGTTCTTTAATTATTCTTACACAAGTTTCTATTAAGTGATCTTAGTAACGCACTATGCATATTTTGAAATAACTTTGACCCCAACTAACCACGATAACAAATATTTTTGTGATCTTTCCACATTCTTATAGTAAATGTACAAACTACCCTGTACTTACTTGGGTTTCATATTTTTTGTGGATTCGCATGCTTGCCAAGTGGCTTTCTTTAATACATCACAAATTTCTGATAGCGGCTTGTGCAACACACTTTCAAAAGTTTCACAAAGTGCATGGAGTGCATCGATCTGAAAAAAACAAGGACTATTGAAATATCACTATAACAAACTCATATTAAAGTATATAAGGCATCTTTGCATATTTAAATAAAAAATTTTAATGTTAAGATAATATTCAAAATATTTATTACATATCTAATCTTACATGACCTTGAAGATCAATGTGTAGTATACGAATGAACTCGTTTCGATACACGCTTTCACATGACGTAAAGAGATATATGGCATTCCATTTAAAGAAGTGAAAATTACCTTTATTTCTCGAAAAATAATGTAAATATGAAAATTGATGTATACTGTACTACTGATCATAGTATTATTGATCATAGTATAGTGTCAATAAAAATACCGAAAAGTTTATGTGTAACAGATTTGGAGAGTATTGATAATAATCTATTGGATGTGGAAAACAGTGATATAAGGATTAAAGACGAACATAACGTAGATGACCGTTGTTGCGACAGCAATAATACGTTAAAGCAACAAATACGTTAAACAAAACACATCAAATGACGTAAGACGGTTTTGGAGCTCAGACAAGACACGACAGACGTGATAATAAATTAAACAAAACACATCAAATGACGTAAGACGGTTTTGGAGCTCAGACAAGACACGACAGACGTGAACTAGAACTGGAAGACGCAAGATGGTAAACGGAAGACGGAAAACGAAACGGAAAACGGCAATGGAGAAGACGATACACCAAACACACACCAATCACACACACCCACATCATAATCGTAGAATAAAGCGTAATTACAACCACAATCGGCGCTTTATTGCTACCTAAGTGCTCAGTGCCTCGTAAGGGATTCGGCACGCTGAGAAAAAGGGGCATTACGAGTATACTATACGTTGCCCCCTCCGCGTGGAGCTCATCCTCATCCACGCGATGCAACAACCGTGGTATAAGGGATGTACAACATGAATATTCTGATCACACAGTATTGATACAGAAATTGAAAGTGACGATGAAGATATTCCAAGCAATGAAAACGAGAAAAAATATTTTTATCTCTTAATATCTTATAATATTTTATATCTTGAAAATATTCTATTTGTAGTAATAAACATCCAGTAAATTCGAGAAGCAAAGCTGAAAATATTATTCACGTGTTACCTGGATTACAGATAAATATCAAATAACAATATAAAATTCGTATTTTTCGATTTTTAGTGAAATTTAACTTTTTTACATAAACAAGATCGTTGTCACACGTCATCCTGTTATCCAATTCACTCGTAGAAATTATTTCTTCACAAATTAAAACAAATTGGAGGAGTCACGCAATCCAAATTTTGGAAAAAAAAAATTGACCAACGATAACTAAGATCTATCCTAACGAATATCCTATATGATTTCATATAATATTTTCTTATATATGAGCCGTTTATTTTGAAAGTGGCCTAAGCCCATTTATATTTAAATTTATTTAAGGGTTTGTGTTTCAATGCAATTCAAAATATACGTGCAGGATACTAATGAGTCATACTGCTTAAGTTTATCTGAAGGAGTTAAATTTATAGTTCCTATTAAAATAATGACAATTATTAAGTGAATAATATGCGTTTTCTTACCAAGAATGGAGTTAGGCCACTTTCAAAATTAACAACCAGATTCCTTATAAAATTTGAAGGTGCCTAAGTCCATTCGACATAATTTAAGATGCTTCAAATTGAAAAAAACAATACTCGATTTATTTTATATACCTTTACAACACTTCAAAAACATAATTTATGCGATTCAAAACATTTTTTAACTACATAAATTGCAAAACAATTTACTGCTCACCTACATTTTTACACAATCCACGCAACACCTCAATCATTACACGCATACTCATTTACCATAATAACCTGAATTCAGTAGATATTTCCATGCCATGGAAACTTGTTCCACTCGTGGCAATACATATATATTTAAAAATCTATGTAACCATTACCACAACATGGTATTCTTATAACACGATTTTCTTATAACACAGCTCGTTCAGCACGAAAATTTCCATCACATTACGATTTTTCTTGGCACTGCAGAATGTTCTTGTTGTACATATAATGCTTAATTACTTTTATTGCAATGTATAATTTGTTCGTGCTATAATTAATTCAATAGACGGTTGCTCGTTCAAAAATATACATACACGTATTAATTTGATTGCGAATTAAGGAATTTTCGATTAGTTTAATTTTCGTATTACCACAGTTGGACAGCATTAAATTAGTTGCATATTTTTAATTTGAAGTTATCACAGAATTAAAATGTTCATTTAAAAATAATTTTTAGTCTATTTATTTCGAGATGTTTATAATGTCCGATAAAGCAACGAAAAACTAAAAATTTAAAAGGAAGTTTATTTCGCTTAAAGATAAAATAAAAATTTCTGTTCTTCAGGTTTCTTTTAACCCTTTGCACTCGGCGATCTTTTCGTTACAGAAACATAGTAATTCGAAAACTTTCCGCCATAAAGTCGACGATATTTTCAAAACGGGAAATAAGAAGCGAAAATGGACAATAAGACGTAGAATTATTTTACCTCGACATTCCACGCGTTGTTGGGCAATTTTAAATTCGAGATATTAATTAATAACGATCTTTAGATTCTGATTAAATGGTGACTGAGAGTCGCCTCTCGAATGCAAAGGGTTAATACGCTTTCGATAGATTGAAACTGATAGCGTTATTGGAGGGTTGGCTATATTAGCAAAGTACTTACCATAGATCTATCTCCTGGTTTCGCTTTCCCATATTTTATTAAGCAATTCAGGCCACTGCGAAATGCGCGAACCCAAATATGCAGCCAGCCATCCTTCTCATGCGGCGAAACTAATTCCGTGGTAATACTAGTAAAAAATAAACATAACAATGCTCCAGAACTGCCACCCATTTCTTCTTCGGCTATATGCGCTAATTCGGAAAAAACAGACGATGGATGCGAAAAATGAAACTTGTCTAAATTTAACAGAACCTCTGAAAATAAATGTTAAAAAAAAAAATAATTAATTAAAATTCGTCGATATTTTATCATGAAAATTAATATCGTTTAATTATAAATATATAATTAATACAATCATGAGAATTTATTTACGCTCAAATTAAAAAAGATATATTAAAAGTTACTTCATTTTGAAAATAAACGTGTGGCGTAATTAGATGGTATGTTTAAAAGAAATACTGGAGCCAGCAAAACAAAAGAGATTTATAAATATTGGCGAAAATATACAATTATCGAGTCAAATATCGTGTATGAAAGAATGAAAGTTTGAATTACATTTTAATTCCAAATATCTATTAGGTTAGCAATTAAGTGATTGTGGATTTTAAATAACTATCCACTTTTCGTCGCCAGTTATCAGTCGTTTCAGAAATCGATCAATTTCGTTGCGTTTCAGAAGCGAATCGCAGATGCTAATGCGTTGCGTGAAATGAATTTCCTTAAGATGAGGGATCCATAAACCGAGTTTCTTGACATAACCAAGCCGTTTTAATTTTTCTCGAATGCATGTATGCGATACATTGAGTTTCTCTGCAATCTCACGTGTTGTGCTATGACGATCTGAATCGATAATGGCCTTGATACGGGTCTCATCAACTTCAACTGGACGGCCAGATTGTTGCGTATTTTTCAGTGAAAAATCACCAGAATGAAATTTGGCAAACCAATTTTGACACTGTCTTTCTTTCAAGGCTTCATTCTCATATACGGTACATAACTTCCTGTGTGCTTGTGATGCGTTCTTGCCTTTTCGGAAATAAAACAATAAAATATGTCTGAAATGCGCGTCTTGTTCTTCCATTTTTAAATTGGGATAAAAACGATACTAAATAACGATCGATACAATTTTTCAACTAAATTAAAGGCAGAAGCCCAAACAACAAGAAAACAATATAAGTTAGGTGCCTTGAACACACTGACAAAACAAAAGAATGTTCAAAAGCCATCTATTGACAAAATCCGCAATCACTTAATTGCCAACCCAATAATTACATATCTAAAACACCCAAATATCTGATTAAATATCAAAGATATGTAACTGAATATTTAAATAAATATCTATCTCGGTTCTAAACGTAGTACTACATGAATATACAAACAGTATATACTATTGTATAACATATGTACATACCCGTGGCAAATCTCTTAAGCGTTGATCCTGTGTCACCGTCTCCACAGCCCCTATCGAGCTCATTGAATAGTGGCAAATCTCTTAAGCGTTGATCCTGTGTCACCGTCTCCACAGCCCCTATCGAGCTCATTGAGGTGCATTTCTTTCTCAATTAAATTTTCAGAGGCGCTTGTCAAGCATTGTTTCAACAAGTTTTGTAATTCCTTGGCAATTTCTATCCCAGCCTTTTCTACCGTCCGTATTACTGTGTTCTGAACAATCGCTTTCGCTCCTTCTGTAGGAACGCTAAATGAACAACCTGGCCATTTTGGGGCATCGGTAGGTGCGTCCAAGCAACTGAGGAAAACGTCTTTGTGCTCTTCGGGTAATTTTAGAAGCGTAATATGTACTCCAGCACTATTCAACGATGTCATCAGAGGTCCCGAATATACACGAAGAGGTTGTATATTCATATTACCTATATTAACAGAAATTTGTAAGACGTTATATTGGTTGGTTTTAGCAGTTCATTCGAGTGCGCATCACGAGAGTTGTATCGCTTTCACAGGTCACTATCCGGCTTGAAGGACCAAAAAATGTATGCGAATGAGTCGCGAATGAATTTTGTGGAATTCTGACAAGTTGTAAGGCCGTATCGAAATCTCGTTATGTTGCCTGCCAAATTAATATTGGACAACGTTTCAATTAGCACGAGCAAAAGAATAATCTCGGCTGATGTCGAACGCTAGACTCTTGTACGACGATAGGAACTGAACTAGCTAGTGGACTCGTCAGTAAGGCTTTTTCCTAGCAGGCTCTGCCTTAAACTGGGATACTTAGGTAGCAGAGGAACTTCTGAGTTCGAGGTCGAGGATTCACTGAGGACTTCCGAGAAAGTCCTCGAACCTCCTTCCAGTGGGAATGCATCTATTGACGAGGGTGAGAACTTGGTCGCTGCATAAGCGAAAAATTGTATCGGTACTTGATCTGTGTGAGTTTGTTGTATAACAATCGTATATTGCTTAAAAAATTAGAAATTATACACCTCTTATAACGTAATTGTTCACTCTCACGCTTCTTTTAATAAACTGAACTTTCTTATAACCTATCAACTCTGATCCATAGCAACTGCACAACACCACGCATTCTAGATCTTCTACTCGCATTTCTAAAAACATACATATCTACATTCGTGCCATTACTCGACCTTACCAAATCCACAATCTGAACTTGCAACTGCTATTTCTGAACCGTTGAACCCTCTAAAATAAGGTAGGCACAACGCCAAAAACGAACTGTAGGTTACTTGGAATTCGCTAAAAAGTTTATAATCCACTATCTGAACCGGCAATTACTTATGACTCAACAGTGCTAATACTGTGAATATTGGTTTTATGAGAGTGCGAGTGTTGGTTTTATATGTGTGAATGGTATTGAGGTAGAATAAATGCAAGTTATTTGCTATGATATAAATATAATAGGTGCGAGTGGAATCTAGTATGAATGTTAATAAAAAATGTTTAGAAGAATGTGCCAGAATTAAACAGTTACGTGAGGATCGTCATAGAGTAAGCATGAGTTAATAAGAGAGTGAGAGAGCTCTCACTCTATGTAGATAATATATAGAATTATATGTAGAAACCATGAATAGTTTCAAAGACTATTTAATGAAGAAATTTTCAATGGTTGATTTGAAAGAAATTAAATTGTTCCTGACTTAGGGTTGAAAGAATTAGAGAAAAAATAACTCTAGATCAAAGCAGTTATATTAAGAAGTTTTGAAGAAATTTAATTTGCAATCTGGTAAATATTCCTCTGGAAAGTAAATTAAATTTTGGCACCCTGAATTTAGATGAAGAATATAATGCACTATACTGAAATGTTATTGAATGTTTAATATATATAATGGTATGTACGCAACCTGATTTATGTGTAGCTACTAGCATTTTTAGTTAGTATACAAGTAAGAGAAATAAAGAACCATGGACTTGTTTTAAAACAGTTTTAAGATACTTAAAATGTTATAAAGATATTAAGATGACTTATACAAGAAATGAATATAATAACATTTTTACAGGTATGTCAATTCAGATTAGGGTGGTAATGATACCAGCGAAAAGGCAAAATTCAGTAGCAGTGTCGAATACTGAAGCTGAATATATGCTTCTATTTGAGGCAGTTGAAGAAGCACTATGATTGAAGTCTTTAGCAATCAATATCCAAATGAATATATCAGAATCCATTGTCATATATGAAGGCAACAATCGTTGTACTAGTATAACAAATAAGAATTGATGGTTTAGGCAAACTGCATCACATACTCTCTTGACTCTCTCGAGTCAGTCAGTTGCTCTAGAGAATCTCTCAAAGATAGATATATCTTCCTTGAGCAATAAAAGTATTGAAAAGAGAATTTTATATATCATAGTTATTTTACAATTATTGAACTCATATAATGATGAACTTTCATATGAACTCTGACTACAACACCCATGTTCGATCAACCTAGTTGCATGTGCAGAAGATAACATCCAAACATCCTTGTTGTCACGCCATCTCATTGTCAGTAACATGTTAATTGACCAGTAGCATGTTTTCTTTTATATGGGGCATTTCACGTCTATTGTTTCAAACAGTTCCAAATACGTTGGTTTTGTGTTGATGTACTAAAGTATAGAAACGTGTACTCGCATATTAATTATCCATAATTAGTGTATTGCTCTTCCCAGATATGGTTGAAGAAATATCGTTATCGTAGGATATTTTTTGTCTTAGGAGTCGTAATTGTAAAAATGGAAACTAACCTACTGAGGGTCAAATGCGCGACGGGAAAGAGAAGTTAGAAGGGCGGAAGGACGCAGGCGAGTGAGTGTAGATTAGTCGTAAAATAGTTGGAAAGCCATCGAAACAGAGCCGTAGAAGTCAGTGATAGTGTGTTAGCCGATTAGCGTCTTGGAACATAATCGAGGCGAGACGTTTTAAGCCGAAAAATAGGCGTGCACGCGGAAGACGTTCGAGTGTTTGCAATTTTGTATATATGTATATTAACACTAAACCTACCACGGCTAAATGTCCAGTGTATGAAAAAGCAATAAAATCTTAAGAAATAATATAAAGAGAAACATTGAAAGATCGATTACACGTATATTAGCAGAAAAATCGAGAAGACAAGGGACTAAGACGATAACGTTGAACGCGGAATTTGGAATGAAAACAAAAAAAAAACGGCCTTTCAAGCCACAGTAGGTTTAGTATTAAACATAGTCTAGTCCAGTGACAACGTGGTATTTGATCAAACTCGCTAGCCCCCTCGCTACTAATCCTACATTCCAACATTTCCTGAAATTCTAATGGCTGTGCTATTTTGATTGACATTTGTGTTTTGTACTAGAGATCATAATATAACATATTTATAGATTTAGCACTTGGTTAACCTGCGTTTTATAGCATAAACTCTTATTTTAATACTTTTATTTTTGAAAATTCTAAAGACATTATTTTTTTATGCTGCGATGACAATAACGATGTGCCTCACTAACCTTTCACCAGATTAAGCATTATATCAAATTTTACAAAACATTTACAATCACCAAATCCGACAGATTGCATCCACGTGCGGCAGACCCACCGAAGCGACAAACGGACATCTATTTATAAATGACGCCACTGACGTGTGAAAGCAATACAAAAGGCAACTTCCTTGACAGTTTCCAATTCCTCAAGACAGGAAAGACTGTTAGCTTTAAATAAGGTTGCAAGGGCCCGAGCGAGCCAGTGTATGTGCAGTGCGTTAGCAGCTCAATCAGTGTCAGAGTCAGTTCTCAGTTTTAAAACAAGAATCGAAGAAAGTACGAGAGACTGACGGGTGGTCATGTAATAATAAATCAGTTATTAGTTTAATCTTTTAGTTGTATTTTACCCTTATTCTCATTTAGCGCGTAATAAATATATATTTTATAATTAAATAACATCTCTGATTCTTGAATGCCAATTAAAATTATCCCTACATATATTGCACTGTATATCTAACTTGACAGTGATAGCGACCGCGTGGTGTCGCCAAGAGGTTACCGCTCACGCGACCCAGGGTAATAAACAAGCCTGAAAATTAAAGCGCAGGTATAAATTGGGGAAATCGAACGAGACATCGTAGTTACGTTTAAACAGTTGAGAAAGAAGTTGGAGGACAGGCCAGCTAAATCAGAAGAAAATTAGGTCGAGACTCACTATTCCTTCATTCCGTTAATAATTTTCGTCATCTGTAAGGTGTAGCTACACAGACAATGTACCTACGTTGTAGTATTTGCTATAACGTAATAACCAAAATATAGGTTATAATATAATAAAATTTCGATATTTGGCAGGTGTACATGGATCTAATTACAGAATTGAATATGAGAAATTGACGAAGAAGCAAGAGAAGAGTGCAAAAAATATGATGCCAACAACACGCGGAGTTCCCAAGTGGCACCCACCCATCTAAAGTACTATCTGCGCCCAACGAAGCTTAACTGTGGTGATCGGACGAGAACAAGTGCTTTCTTCGTCGTATGGTCGTTAATGAAAACTTTATATTGCCTACGCGTGAAATTGTATTAAAATACCGTAAAAACCATTACATGTTTACGTCTCTGGAATAGGAATACGTCTCTGAGTGTTTAGGCTACGTGACCTACTGAGGACAAGGCTGTGAAGAGTGCGTGAGAAAAGCGTGAGTGAGGCAGAGAGCATGAGTATGAAAGAGGATAGAGTGTAAGGTTTAAATAAGGGTGCAAGGGCGCGGGCGATTCAGTCTCCAGGAATCTCTAACAGTCTTTAACACGTTGAGTGCTACGTCAGTCCCTGGAGACTGACAGTGAATTTTCCGTTCAGGCGATGTCTGTCCTAGGGACTGACAGTAAACTTTTCGTTTGGACGACGTGGATTCTAAGGACTGACAGCGAACTTTTCGTTTTAACAACATCGGTGCGTAAGACTGGCATTGTCAAGGGTTAAATTATCAATGACAATTAATATATTGTAAAAATTTAATTCCCTCTGCTAAAGTAAATCTTTACACTTCCGTGGTTTTTCCTGATTGATCGTCTCTTGGTGATCGCCTTCTTGCCTCTCCGGCATTCCCCACTCCATTATCTTCTGTTTATAATTTGTATATTTGTGCATTGGCTGTACCATTCTCACAGTCCAAACGACAAAGTGAAACAAAGTAATCTTCTGCTCATGCTCTTCAGTATACTTGAGCGCTCGGTATTGTTGTCTTCAAATGATTTTTGTGCAATCATTGTGCAAATGATTCAAGTGCACACTCGCGCTGCCGCCTGAGCGGAAAGTATAACAAAATCGGCGCCGCACTCAACGTGTTAAGAGTTTTTAAGCTAGTCTCTAAGAGTGTGCCAGTATGTCAGTAAGAAGTCCAAGTCGAGCGTGCCCAAGTCGAGCGAATCTCTCTTAGCCAATATTCTTTGTATCAGCTTATTGTATTCTATTACGAAGCAAACAACGCTATTTTAGACAATCCACCCAAACGCGATCCTACATAAATGGCAATAAATTCCTGCACAAAATTTGTTCTATGTGATACTGTCTACAGATTCTAACTGCAAGTATTTAATCATGCGATAAAATGGAAAAAATTCTTGATCAACTTTGAATTCAACTTAGTTCATTATCCACCACTTGCTACCAATTTACCAGTATTAAATTCTGTTTAATAGTTCGAATATTTAACGTAACTTTAAGCCATTTTTATAAACATATATAATAAATTGTTGGTCATCCAACAGAATCACAGATATTTAAATCCCATCGATAAATATGTTTCTGTTAATAAATAATAGTTTAAGACAAACACATGCACAGTGATCTTGATTTTTACTCACGGAGTTGCTTGACCACGTCGTGAACAGCAATTCCTTGTTCCAACTGGCTCAATGCTCCAAAATTGTTAACAATAACTGCAACTGAATCTCCACTTTTCAAAGACAAGGCCTTGCATATGTGTTCCAGCATGAATGAAATTGTTTCGCTCGAGGATTTCAATTTCATTTTTCCATATCCAGCCTCCCCATGAATTCCCATTCCAACTTCGATTTCGTCTTCTGCTAGCTCGAACATGGGGGGCTGACCTAAAATATTTTAAATACAGTTATTTTGTTACTTTTGAAACTTGGTTTTTGTCTTTGTATTGGTCAGGATATTAGTCGATTTATTTATCAATAAAATTAGAAAAATTTCAAATTTTAATCAAGATTCACCTAAGCAAGAATAGAGGTTATTTTGCAATCAAATAAAATAATCATTTTCTTCCTCGATTGGTAATTATTTAGAACAGTTGATAACGAAAGTAAGTGAAAAATATTTGTATGATGAAGAAACAGAATCTAAAAATGACAAGGATACAAGTAAAAAAGCGAAATAAATCAATATTTTTATATCATTAAATCTCTCCTTCATGATATATGTAACTCTGAATTGATCAACAAAAATCATTTGAAGACAACAAATTGCTTGACCAGTTCTAATACAAGTAAGTATCCCAGTCTAAGGCAGGGCCTGCTAGGAGAAAGCCTTACTGATGAGTGCACTAGCAGGCCCGGGACGAAACGCATCCCTTCCTATTCCTGTCCTCCTTTTACCTGCTACCCTATCAATAGCAACGATGACCACGAGGATATCAACAGGGCAGCACCATAGGACACCAGCAGACCATCATATGGAACCACAAATCAGCTCAGAGCAATGAAGTCAGTTCGTAACAAGCGCTCCATTCGAGTACATGTAGTTAACTATTGCACTTAACACTAGAACTACCGACCCAGTCAAAATGACTGGTCCCAGAATTTTCCTTTTTGCAATCACCAAACATATACACCTGCTTTAAGAATAAAATTGGTATCAACTCATATTAACCCTTTGGCTACTGTGGGCACCTATAGGCGCTTAGAAATTTTGCGTTTGTGACACGGAGGGTGTCTATAGGCGCTCGGCGTAGTTTAGCTTTTTGACACGGAGAGCGCTCGTTTTCACAAAAATGGCGCACATCGTAACTCAATTCCTGCCATATGGTACGGCCGTTGCGTATCAAAATCTGCCGTAGTCAAGGGGTTAAGAAAGAAATGTAATCGATATATTGACCCATATTCATCGTATCGCTGAAATTACTATAATCTGTGCACGTTATAGTTAGGTACCCATTAAAGATCGGTAGTTTTAGTGTTAATAAACCTCTCCTTTGGAGACAGGATATTTAGAGTGGTATCTATCCTAAACCTGATATCCATATCCTACACGTAATTAAAATGAAGGAGTCAAAACAGGACATTTGTCATATAATGTTATAGAAGTATCAAATTGGTAATAATGCGACAGTGACTGCAAAAGGAATATAAGGTGTTTTTGGTGAAGGTGTAGTTGTTTCGTCCGAGAAATCAGGATAAATAATTCGGACGAGCTCTGTGTTCTTTTACAAACGCAAATTGATTTTTTCATTTGCAAAGAAGTGAGGCTACAAGTTCTGTGGTGATTTTATGCGATATTTTAGCACGACTGACTGTTCTCGTGTAGCTTCAAGTGTTTTATATTTTCCGATGTGATCGTGATTGGTGAAGGTGTCGTATAAATGGTGGATATCTCTCTTTCCAGTGGTGGTATAATAACCGGAGGGTGTGTCGAGGAGGCTTAGGTATGCACAAGTCTTCTAAGGGAGTGTATGGAAACGTTTGGGCGACTTCTTGAAAGTCAAGGGGTAGCTAAGATAGATAGGAACGACGGCAACGAGTCCGACTAGGGCATTCGACGTGAAAGAACAAACGACAGCGCCAAATCCTTTGTCAGGTTGTCTATGACAATGTCGAACGATTGAAAAGGAAAGCATGTGTATGAAAAGAGATAGTTTTTAGCTTTAACCATTTGCGCTATAAAGACGTGCCACGCACGTCGAGATGCTTTTGTCTTATGTGTATACCACGTCGATAGGCATTTGTCGCAGAAACAAAAACGACGTGTCCGTCACGTCGGCTAATAGTTAGCTTGCAGATGCGGTGCGGCGTCAATATAAGGCCTTACTGCATGTTATATAGTAGAGCGCGGCACGACAACCGAAAGTTAAATCGTAGCGCAAGTTAACCCTTTCGTTACTAAGGGCGACTATAGTCGCTCTCCATCAGTTGCCACTGAGGTACTACGGGCGACTATATGTAAAATATCGTATGTCCACATACTGTACATACAACGAGCATCTGCAGTTATTGCACATCAAGTATCTCACTCTGGACATGCAGCGTGAGTATTTTGTTTTGCATTATTTGTTTATTACGGACCTCAATACTCAGCAAACCAAATGCCTCTGACGATCAGTCTCGTGCACCGTGCACAGTTTCGTCGCGACGGCTCCTTTTGCGGGAGTACTGCAGCGGAGTCCGCCCATAGCGAAAGGGTTAAGTAAGGATGCCAAGGGCGCGGGACAGCCAGAGTTGGAAAGAATCAAATTTTTCGTCCGAGAATTTAGAATCTTTTATCATGGTCAGTTCAGGCGTCAATTGGGGAGTCTTAGGAGTCCGCGAGTCACGGGGCCTTGGTCCTTGGGAATGAATGGAGAGAGTGAACAGTAGTTGCAGAAAGTACTGTGAGGAATTGTAGGAAATATAATAATTTCAAGACAACGACGCCATCTATTGACGAGTGTTAGAGCTAATAGTGTTACTTCTTTTGTTTTTGCGAGGCACTGCCCGACGCATCAAGTCAGTCGCTCTGTGCCCAGTCTTAGGAACACGTGTATATTGTAAATATAATAAAGGTACTTGGTAACTTAGAAAATTGTGTAAAGTTTATTTAATCTTAACAGGAATTCGTTTTCCAAGTTACGTTCTGGAGATATTAGTTTTCAATATGTACCTAAATCATGACGGTCAACAGATATCGATTTTTACAGACAGCGTTTTGAAAGCCTTGGTGGAAGGTACTGACCTGGTATTGTACAAGCTGTCAATCCAACCGCGTAAGTAGCTACATTTTGCAAAACGTCTTGCGCAGCCTTGGAGATCTCTTCAAGTGGTAATCCCTGTTCTGCTAATGCACCAGCTATTTTAATAACAAATAGCATTCCGGTTAGACCACGCTTACCAGTGACACCTAACTCCTCGTTTGGTATACTACAATCTTCATTCACTATCACTTCCGTAATCTACAATTTGCAACGAAATAAGGTATAATTTAAAAATATATGCGAAATATACGTAGTAAATAAAATAACACAGGAGCTTTTAAGCACTAGCCATTGGTAATTTTTAACTAAAATATACTTAATTTAGAGCTTTTGACATTATGTACATGTAGCAAGCTTACAAAATTATTAGTATGGATAGAGAGTTAATAGAAATGCGATAATTATTAATTAAAATAAGATTACAAAATAAAAGATAATATAAAAACTTTGAGTGAATAAAACTTTATAGAAGAGGAAGAAGTTATTTACATTTATGAAAGGCAACATGTAATAACTTCTTACATTGGTTTAATGGGATATAAAATACGTCAAAATGTAATAATTTTGTCATAATTAATATTTCACAAAGCATTACATTTTGATTATTCGAACAAATTTTTGTTGGCATTGATTTTATTGTTTTTTAAAATAATTTTCTATATCGAATTATCTTATAAACATATTTATTAGCAATACGATGTATATGCAACAATTTTATAATTTATTTTCATAAAATTTAAATTTGATGATTTGGAGATGTATTAACGAGGTTTGGCAAATTATTTAATAACTATTCTTATATAATTTTTATTTGCGCTTTAAATCGTGGTAAATAAAAGTTATTATATAGAAGTAGAAGATTTTAATTTTCCAATAGTACAATCTAACTTTCTTACCTCATAATAATTCTATACTAACATAATCTAACTTTCTTACCTCATAATAATTCTATACTAATATAAGTCTTCAAAGCATTACGTTGTTACGTAAACCAAATGTAACCTTTTACACTCGGCGATTTTTTGGCTACAGGAGAATAGAAATTCGAAGATTTTCTGCCATAAAGCCGAAGATATTTTTTAGAACAATAAATAGAAAGTCATATAATAATTAACACGTAGAATTATTTAATACCAATACCTCTCACATTATTACATTAAATGATGACTAAAGATCGCCTCTTGAGTACAAAAGGGTAATTACTTTTAATAACTAATAACGAAATATATAAATAAATTTGTAATTAATTGCAATATATTATTATTTCTCCATTACAATAACCGGCATATAACTATCCCTATACATATTAACCGTGTATCTACAGTGCTGGACAAAAGTATTGCCACAGCAAGGTTTTTATAGTTCAAGTGCTTATAACTACTAAACAAATTGATTTGAAGGTAAAACTTTTTGACATATTCATTTATTATCTATTCTAGTTTTATTACATAGTAGAAGTAATAAAATAAATACATTGATTCACGAAACAATAACAAAAATGTATTTATCGAATATTTTATGGGTGGACAAAAGTATTGGCACACTCGAATAAAAACGTTTAAAAATGACTTGAAAATAAATATTAATATTTAGTTGACCTTCCTTTTCTTTTAAGAACTTCGTTTAATCGTTTGGGAATTGAATCAATTAACTTTTTTGTAAAATCCGGCTCGATTTTATTCCATTCTTGTAAAAGAATATTCTTCGAGTCTGTTTTGCATGTTATACGATGTTTTCGAATCCTTTTTTCCAATTCGTTCCAGACATGTTCGATAGGATTCATGATATTCTGATATAATTTTTATTTGCGCTTTAAATCGTGATAAATAAAAGTTATTATATAGCAGTAGAAGATTTTTATTTTCCAATAGTACAATCTAACTTTCTTACCTCATAATAATTCTATACTAACATAAGTCTTCAAAGCATTACGTTGTAACGTAAACCAAATGTAACCTTTCGCACTCGGCGATTTTTTCGCTGCAGAAGAATAGAAATTCGAAGATTTTCAGCCATAAAGCCGAAGATATTTTTTAGAACAATAAATAGAAAATCATATAATAATTAACACGTAGAATTATTTAATACCAATACCTCTCACATTATTACATTAAATGATGACTGAAGATCGCCTCTTGAGTGCAAAAAGGTAATTACTTTTAATAACGAATAACGAAATATATAAATAAATTTGTAATTAATTGCAATATATTATTATTTCTCCATTGCAATAACCGGCATATAACTATCCCTATACATATTAACCGTGTATCTACAGTGCTGGACAAAAGTATTGGCACAGCATGGTTTTTGTGGTTCAAGTGCTTATAACTACTAAACAAATTGATTTGAAGGTAAAACTTTTTGACATATTCATTTATTATCTATTCTAGTTTTATTACATAGTAGGAGCAATAAAATAAATACATTGATTCACGAAACAATAACAAAAATGTATTTATCGAACATTTTATGGGTGGACAAAAGTAATGGCACACGATGCTAAATGTAGTATAACCGCATTTGTTTCAAAAATTTCCAATCGTCATTTTAAAATCTAGTTAGGCGACACCCCGATTGTTATTTTTAAGAACAATTATCCTAAAGTTCAGTCCTTTAGCAACAGGCAAATTAAGAAAAAGTAATAATGTCAAGAAATGCGAAAGAAACGACAAGTGAAGAAAGAGAAATAATACTAAATTTGTATAAAATGCAAAAATCTTGTAGCGAAATATCACAAATTGTTAACGAAAGTCGTTTCACTATTATATTATATTATACAGGGTGTCCCCAAAAAACGTATACACAGTTTGAAAAACGTAAATATATTTTAAAGTGCTATCATAAGTGTGAAAATATACTGGAAGTGCAAAGACGTTTTAATTAAACCGTAAAATATATACTCTTTTTATAATCTCGCAAAGTGTGTATACATTTTTTTGGGACACCCTGTATTTATATAATATTCTATTATATTTATATTTATATTTATATATATATTAAAGAAGGAATAACTTAAATCGTAAATTTGCTTTCCTTCAAACTTACCTTCAGACCTCTTTGTCTCGCCTTTTCAATTGCAATTCCAAAATTAAGACAGTCTCCAGTATAATTCGGGACGACCATCAATATACCAGCTGAAAAAATATGTTCAATATTGGCTATACTATTAATGAAAAGCAAATGTCAGTAACTTATTATTAGACAATAATTGCTATCTTCATGATTCGGTTCGAATGTATAAATTCATAATTCGTATGTATAGATGGTTCAACTGATAATACGAACTTGTATCGTAATAAAGACCTAGAACTGCAAGTGTTCCGAGTTTCGAAACAGTCATTTGAAATGTTCAGAGAGAGATAAGACGCAGCAGAGATGTACATTACGTAATTTAGTGCAACTATTAACTGATAAGTTAATATTGGACAAATAATTCGATTCGATATACACAGTGTCCCAGCAATGGTAATACAACCGAGAAGGGAGTGATTCTAGATGAAAAGACATATCGAAAATAAAGAATAAAAATTTTTCATTCGAAGCTTCGTTGACGAGAAAATCGACGTTCGAATTTCGAAAATTGAAGCTTCGAATCAAAAAATTTTATTCTTTATTTTCGATTTGTTTCTTCACGTAGAATTTCCCCCTCCTCGATTTTTCTTTTAATTTTCGAATTGTTTTTTCATGTAAAATCACCCCATCCTCGGTTGTATTACCTATGCTGATGTATCGATGTCCATACATTTAAGCCACAGCTAAGTGCACATGTACTCGGTGAATATTCAAAGTCGATTTTCTCGAAAACAAAACTTCGAATGAACAAATTTTATTCTTCTTTTCGATTCGTATCTGCATGTATAATCACACCTTTCCCGGTTGTACTACCTTCGCTAGGACACCTTGTATATTGTTTTGTTTAAAGTTCAATGATATTTTGGTTGTTCAACTTACTTTTATCGTGTTGGGAGACACGGTCGATAGCGTAAGTAATGTGTTCCGATGGAGGTGCAGCGTATATCGAGCCTGCTACAGATGCAGCTAACATGCCATTTCCAACATAACCTAAAGAAAGTTTAAAACAATTTCATTGGTCAATAATTATGTTTATATTATATTTAATACTACATAGAATAAAAGTAAATATATTTACTTTTTATATTTTAACACTTAGCCGACCGCACGCCCCAGAGCAAACTATACCGTTTCCACCGCGCTTGGGGAACCCGAATAAGGGGCCTTAAAAATTGGTGAATTTTACTATATGTTGTGCTTTATAGAAGCAGTTCGTCAGTAATTGCGAACAACTCCAAATGGAGGTAGTGTAAGTAATAACCGAAAACGAGAAACGCGTTGCTAAAGTCAAAATGGGAAATCTCCCATTTCCCCGATCGGTAGGGCACTGGCTTACTTTAAAATGGGGAGATCTCCCCGATCGGTTGGCTGTGTTATCATGCATAAATGTCTTACATGAACTTCGCTAGTGTGTTCTCCAGATAGAAAAGGAAAAATAAAAATTTGTTGTAACACGAAGATCACAAATATTGTATTAAACAGTTATTTATTTATTTATTTATTTATTTACTTATGAGGATAATAGAACAGATGAAATTTAATTTGCAATAAGTTTAATAATGCAATATCAGAATTCAGTCGATAAATGCGTCTAAATTTCTCAAAACGCGAATATACAGTATCTCAAAATTCACGCAAGATTTGAATATTGCGCCATCTATGGGGTAAAGTGTTTCAAACGAAAAAAAGGCAGCGTGATAGCTGACAATTCAGGGTTATTAACCTTTTGCACTCGACGATTTTTTGGCTAGAGAAGAGTAGAAATTCAAAGAAGTCTACTAAAAAACTGACGATACTTTTTTGAACAGTAAATAAAGAATTGTATAATAATAGAATTGTAGAATTATTTGACTTCGATACTTCGCATACTGTTACATTACATTAAATTTGATATATTAATTAATATCGATCTTCCAAATTTGATGAAATGGTAACTGAGGGTCACCTCTCAAGTGAAAAGGGTTAAAAATAGAGTGCTACACGAAAGAACGACGCTTCTTCATTGTTGACCAATATTTACAATTTTTAATTAAAAACTTATCAAATCCATCAAAATTACTTCTTGCGTGAATTTTGAGACACCCGATATATGTACGTATCGTTTACTCTCTATTTCATATTTTTATATTTTTAATAAAGCATTTAAATCTTATATTTGCTTAGAAAAAATACCGACGAAATTATTATTAAAAACTCTAACAAATGGGACACCATGTATCATACATGATACCTCGTATGTACAGTACACCTTGTAAACTTAGTCAGCAAGAATTCTGTTTTTCAATTAAACAGAATATTTGCGCTAATTATCTAAAATACAACAGATTTTGAAGATCAATACTATTCCCTGGAGTTTAATTTTTATTTGAATGAAGCGGGATATTAAGTTTTTATTAGTTTAGAATAAAATATATTTTTATTGACCATGTACTATGCAGAGTTTACAGTTGAGCTCAACTCATTCAAATGGCATAAGGGTATGATTAATCATAGAGCACAGAAGTTCAATACTGCTTAACTAGTTAGCTGTGGTACCCCCTTTTGAGAGCGCGTACCTATATGTGTCGTTAAAATCGAGCGAATGACGAGTATACTCGTCAATCACGGAGTAAGTGTCGCTGTTAAAATACTGGATTAAAAAGACGAGTTTATTTTATAAAATTGACAAGTTTATTACTAACATTTACTTATTTGGTTAACATCTATTCTCTTATTGCTTAGTTTTTATGGATATTTATGAATTTTAGTAACCGTCAAAGAATAGCTAGGTAACTTCGGGCCAGCAGCCATCAATGGGCCCAGCGCCTGGTCAGCGTCACGCATTTGTCCCGTGGCGGACTATCCCTGAAGAAACCCTATCATAAATCAGCTTTCCAGCTTTTGCTTTTGCCCCTTTTACGCTGACATCTGACGTTATCATCGCACATAAATAAATTCGTTATGCGAACTGATAAGCTGTTTCAGCCGGTGCATACGGGAACGCATGAGTCCATCTCAAATTATTCATATTTTTTATTCGTTTGTTTGAATCCGGCCTGGCCTCAAAATATTCTTAACATCTTGAAATTTGAGAATATGTTTCATTTTTCACAAAAATTACAATTTAAATAGCCAATGATCACTACTTTTTATACATGACGAGTATACTCGTCATGACACAAAATCCTGCCACTTCTCCATGACGAGTATACTCGTCATGACACAAAATCCTGCCACTTCTCCATGACGAGTATACTCGTCAATCACAGCTAACAGGTTAAGGGAGTAGGGTAGTTTGACGCGCTCAAAAATTAGTGATACTTGAATATTATAATTGAATAATTGAATATTATAATCTATATAAAACAATACTAAATTAAAAAAGAGAACGTCCCTTATTTAGCTTTATGACGTCATCATTCTGAAGTAATTTTCTTCAATATACTATGCTTCACCTAAAATGAATCTGCCTGATCTTTTGTTACGTGAACAGTCATTTAATCTTGTTTCTTACGTCGATAATTTTATATTAAATTTTTTATTAACTTTTCGTAGCTTTATCATGATTTACTAACTTATATCATGATTAGATTATGTCGTGTAATTTTTAAATAACGTCCTCATCGGTATTAATGATATTTTAAGGTTATCATAATTATTAATCAGAATGTGTTTGGTAATTAAACCTACTTTTGCAAGTTATTTTCGTTACTGTCAATCATTTAAATATTGTTAAATTATTATGTGGATACTAATTTCTAATAAACGTAAAATGCGATACTTATCAAAACTGCATATTGTAAATATTTTCTTTTTTTACGTTTTAATAAATATGGAATTAAACTCAAATTTTATATTTTTGATAGATATACTGCAAATAATAAATATTGAATTTTTTAAATTTTCTTAAATAAATATAACTTAAGTTATTACAGAATAAAAATATAATAATCATCGTATTAGGATGAATTTTATATTGAGCATATTAGTGTTAATCTCGCTATGGTAATGAGTGTAATTTTTAAAGTATTTCATATATTGAAAATATATATTCCTAAAACTATTTAAATCTATATATTACTTTATAATGCAATATTTGTAAATATTATTTCCTTAAAAAGATTGAAAATTCTCAAGAAACATTTTCATTTGATATTATATAATTTCTGTATATCTTTTAATCAAATTCAAAATTTATGCACATTCTTTATTTTTAAATTAGAATGCGTCATCAAAGCTTTTATTAAAATCTTTTCTATCATAAGTTCCCTCATCCATCAATGTTATTCCCTATTTCTTCTTATGTATATTCATTTCTGAAACAAATGTTTTATTCTCAAACACTCTTATGAAACTGCTTCAATTTGTTCAGAATTCAGAAATTCTTATCACGTGATTTACTCATTGAAGGTACCACAATTGTTTCATTAATTTAACTCTTTGCACTCGAGAGGGGTGACTCTCAGTCACCGTTTGCTTCAATGCTATGACTCAAATAATGAATGATGATAGTTATATTAGCAACTACGCGCGAAATATCGAAATAAAATAATTCTATTCGTTCATTTCTCACGCAAATGCACGATTTTCTTTTTTTATTTTGACATAAGGAGTATCAGCGAGCTTATGAAAATCTAAGAAAAGCTTCGAATTGCTGTTTACTACGAAAAAGTCTTCGAGTCCAAAGGATTAGGAAAGGTATCGAATAATGGTAAGATGATTAAAATGAACAGCACCAATTCCACGTTTAACGCGGTAGGAAATGCAATTGGTTGTTCAAATTATTATCCCTGTGCACTGGAAAATTTCCTCGTTATAAAGATATAACAATTCGAAGTTTTTCTTATATTTTTCTTATCTCAGTGATACCATTTATGTTAAAATAAAAAGAGAAAATTACGTGTATTTCATTTCAATATTTCATGTGGAACTATTTCTAATCTAGTAATGTCTCATGCTCGTTACTCAGGTTTTCAGATATTGAAACAAACGGTGACTGACAACGAGAGTTACCACTCGAGTGCAAAGGGTTAACACATCTAGTAAGTGCTGCCATAGATAAATTTTTCAAGCCATTTGAGTTGTTGGATTGTTCTTGTACGAAAAACGCGTTATAAGGAAACCGTGTTATAGGAGAACCGTACCAATTATCATTATATGGAAATCGTGTTATAAAAACACCACGTTATAAGAGGCTTGATTGAAACCGCTTCAGTTTGAACAAAATTAAGTCATTAAAATCGAAAATAAAGAATAAAATTTTTTAATTCATACATTGAGAATCCAGGTAGCCCTGTTACAACACGGCATCCTATAACACAGTTTCGCTATAAACACGATTCATAATTTGCGGGAACCCTCCCACAACACGGTTTCGCTCTAACATGGAACGATAATAAGATAAGAAAATTGTAAAAACTTTTGTACAACACTGTATTTCTGCATATACAATGACGACGAAGAAATTTATTAAATTAATGTTGCCTTAAATTAAAATAATATTTTTATCTTTTTTTGTTTTTATGTTGTACATACGTTTATATTTTAAATAAAAATTAAGTTGTTTATGTAGAATTAACCTTTTGCACTCGAGAGGTGCCTCTCAGTCGCCATTTAATCAGATTCTAAAGATGGATGTTAATTAATATTCACAATCAAATTCACAATTACCCAACGTGTGGAATATCGAAGCAAAATAATTTTAATGTAAATAATTTTAATTTGTCTTAATTTGCATACGAATTCTTGTTTGCCGTTTTAAAAATATCGTTGACTTTATGGCAGAAAGTTTTCGAATTACTAATTCTTCTGTGAAGAAAAAGTCGCCGAGTGCAAAGGGTTAAAAAAAGAATTGGTTTATAGTAAGTTTTCGAAAGGTAAACTCTCTTTTTGTACTGGTTCTAGATCTCATATAACACGGTTTCACACAACACGGTATTTTCTAGGAACCTATGTATCGTGTTATAAGAGGGTTACCTGTACCACAAGTAAATTATTTTATTATTCATCATCATTGTCAAATATTCATCATCGTCTAATCATTTTTATTGAATTGTTGGATTGTGTGTGTACAAAGAAAACGTTATAAGAGTTAAGTCACTATCTGTATATGCTATATTTAGGTACACTGTTCAGGTCGGTAACTCTAGTGATAAATACGTCAAGAATTTACCTGCAGCAAATGGTTCGTGTCCACTTCCGCCACCGCATATCAGAGATACCTTATGTTTTCGATCCTCGAGCTAAAATAGATTGCATCGTTCGTGAGTACAAGATCAAATATACGTCGTATAAGCAACGCATGTAAACAAATGTTATCTGCATCGCGTCATTGTTGTTGAACGTTAAGGTTATGTTCGTACCTTTGGCATGAGAATGACTCTATGAGTCGCTTGGTATTCCAATTGCGGAAATGCAAACGATAAACCAAACAGAGTTTCCGTGACGGCATCGTTAATCGAGTTAACCAAACTTTTCATGGTTTTGAATAAAGCTGTCGTGAGTACACACCGAGGCAAGCGTTCACGAAAGCGTCGTCCGTCGCACTGTGAATGAAAAGTTGTCGAGATTAATCTTCGTTTAGGGGTCACGAGTTATCGCGTACATAGAAGTACACAGGAACGTTAGTAATACGCATTCGCCATGAATGTCAAGTAGCTAAGTAAAATGCGATTAAGTAACGTCGGGTCGTTCTTTACGTTTTGTATATGCGAAAATTTCAGCGGTAACATTTCTTAATGATTCTTGATGATAGATAAGCGACAAGTATAGACCGCTTTGGTGTTTATCAATGTGTGATGATACTTGTGAAATATATTAAAGTTCCTCAGAAATATATTAGAAATATAGTTTTTAAATTTCGATAACTTCGCATGCTTGAGTTTTATCGATAGCGAACTTTATTATTATTATTATTAATAGCGTATCATGCGTGGCGATACTTATGACATATATCAAAATTCCTTAGAAATATATTTAACGTTTTTTGAATTTCGATAATTTCGCGTGTTTGGGTTTTATCCATAGCGAATATTATTAACAGCGTATTTTATTATTATTATTAAGATAAATTTGAACTAAATTTATAGCGAATTTGGAAGTTAGGGTTACTATACATTAATTGGGGGAATTGGTACCCTCGAGGTAATAGAAAATGGAAACGGACATGTCCCATTATTAATTTCGACTTCTTTTCATTTGATTATTATAAAACAAACATAATTATTATTGGTTAAGTAATTGTTGATAACATGTATGTATATTAAATGAAAAAAAGGTATCGTTCATAGAATCGGAAAATTGTCAAGGGGTAGCACAATAATATGATAATAGAGAAGTATAATAGCGTTATGGAAAAATTTGTAAATTACCGTATCACATTTTGCATTCTTTTATTATACGAAGTAAATGTAATTATTCTTGTTTCTTTGATACATTACCTATCTGATACCTTATACACATATTTCCTTTTTTGAATTTTCGGCCCCGAAAGTTAAATATTTTCCAAACTGTACAAAGTATTTCTTTTACATTACTTATAATATGTGTGTTGTATATAACTTATAGAACATGGATAAAATTAATTAATAGTAATTCATTGTAACACGATTCGCTAACGAAAGGATAAATTTACGAAAATGTATTATTTACGGTAACAGTACATGTTATTTTTTTATTCAAGTTTAAGAAAAAAGAATTCCATTTCATTTTTTGGACTATATTATTATTTCAATTATCATTCTTACTATTCTAAATGTTATTTCAACTGAGAAGCTATAATTTTGTAAAACTTTATTTAAATAAAACTGTGAAAATTATACATACTCGATCTGTTTGAAAAATAATACAACTAACGGTTCAGAATAAAGATTAGTAATGTATTCGAAACTATAATACAATGTAATAATTCAAATACTGGCCATGTTCGTAAAAGTCGTTAATTTTATTTAAATGAAGTTTTTTAAATTAAGTGAAATTTTTAACGGACATTTAGGATTATATATTACTGTTATGATAAATTTAACTCGCTTAGATTAATTAGTAAAATATGCACCAAAATGTAGATACTGTACTAAAAGTAAAGAATTTTCGTGATTAATTGTGATTAATCAATACAAGAGTTACCACGCAAGGCTAATAGAACTTGTTTCCTTCCTTTTAACGCGTGGTGTGCTCTAAATGTGATTAAATGGATAAACTGATAACAATATTTATTGAACAGTATAATAACACAACATAAATTATAATTAAATCACATAAAATAAATTCGCTTCTCACTGCGATATAATGTATTCAGGACTCTTTCACACACAACGTCTATTTCTGATGACTGTCATTCACTAATTGTTTTTCACGATTCTCTGTCATACTCGCCACACACTTACATTCTTCCACACAAACATTTCTCACACTTACACCAAACATTCTATGAGAACCACTACCACACTAAACGTTTTACAGTCGAGGACTGTTAATTTTGTTTGGTAGCCCGAATGTTAATTTATTTCGTTTAGACTCTTTTCCTCGGAGTCGCGATTCTAACTCTCTGAAGGATCGAATATGACTGCTTGAAGTTTGGATGTGACTGACTTGAAAGTTCGAATGTGACTGATTGAAAGCTCGAGTGCGACTCCTTGAAAGTTGGAATGTGACTGAAGAATTTTTGTTCCTCTATGCTTCATCGCCGTGGCGTGTCTAGAATGCATGCTGATTGATTATTTTGAGAAATGTCAATTTTCCAATCAGCAGCATCCTAGGTGCCGTGACCACCCTTCCATGCGCCCTTAGCGCGCCTTCTTTTGGCAAGGATGGGACGATACCTGAGTGTGCGTGAGGTCACGAGCTTTGCCATGGGTTACAGTATTCTTCCAGGTTCGAAGCGCCGGTAGCTTTTTACCCTCGGAATGTCCCTTCGGAATTACCGAAGTTTATAACACGTCTTTTGGCTATCGAGAGTGGACGAAATTAACCTCTTAGGTACGACGAGCCACTATAGTGGCTTTCAAAAATTTCATCTCTCTGAACGACGCGCAATAATTGTAGCCCACTTGCTCACTGTTTAGATTAAATGAGCCGTTTATTTTGAAAGTGGCCTAAGTCCATTTGTCAATTATTTCCGGTTGTCCGTGGTTACATGTGCAACTTGAAGTTATCTATCAGTAAAGCATTTGAGGTGACTTATATTCAGAATAAATACGATAATTTTGGACACATAAGTTTTCAGAGTTAGTTCAATAATTGAGCCGTTTATTTTGAAAGTGGCCTAAGTCCATTTATACTTAAATTGAGATACTTATTATTGATAATGTCCGAAGGCAGTGCTGAAGGTAATTTTAATTAATTAGTATTTAACAAGTTAACCTCAGTTTTTGGACAATTACTTTAGTTGAATAATCAGTACGTTTAATTAATGCAGTTAAAAAAAAATTACGCAATATACATACTTACAGTTAAATATAAAACTTAAAATTTAATATTAAATTTTAGAAATTATTTCACCCATGGGAAATAACAAATCGACCGAAACATTATGATAACTTCAAATCCCTTTCACACACACAAAATGTAGATGAGCAGTAAATTGTTTTGTAATTTATGTAGTTAAAAAATGTTTTGAATCGCATAAATTATGTTTTTGAAGTGTTGTAAAGATATATAAAATAAATTGAGTA